CATAGTAGCAAAATATAATTCATAGTAGCAAAATATAATTCATAGTAGCAAAATATAATTCAACCAACGACTGTATTTTTTGTCTTTTTTCTGCCCATCAACGCCTGAATTTTGGCATCGCGGAGTAGGAAGGGCAGCGAGAGCTCCCCGGCCCGGGCCGAGCAGATGCGCGGCGCGGTACAAGGGCTCGTGGCTCCATCTCGTGGCCGCAATGCAAACTGCAGCGGCACCGCGCGCGTAGGCAGCTCCGCAGGGCCGAGCAGGGCAGGGTCACCGCTCCTGGAGGCACGGCTCCTGGAGATGAGTCCGAGGTTTGAACTTGAGTGTTCCAAGAGCCTTTCAATTCATTAACTTGCTCTGAAAAGCCTCTTTGTGAAACCTGAAATGCTAAGAATATGTCTATATACATGTGCATGATCCTAAGGTTTGTGGGATTTTTTTCTTTCCATCGCTGATTTTCCTTTCCCCATTCAATTTTTCTTATTTATTTTTAGGTACTTTGTAGTTTTATGAATATATATTGCTGCTCTGATTTAAGAAAATGCAAGCTGTTTATTCTTACATGTGTGAAACCAACATATGTCAAGCTATAAAACACATATAGAGGAAGAACAGTCTGGGATGTTCAGAAAGTCCCCTTTGTCTCTTGTGATGAGATATTCTTATACAACACAGCCTGTTTGCAACCAACATCTTCCTAAAGACAATTTTCTGTGTATCTTTTCTGTGTCAGAGAAAAAGGATCTCGCTACAGTGAAGAAATTTCTAAACATGAAAAATATACTTGTGGTTTTTAAATCGAGCAATGTGTATTTTAATTTTCAAACTACAAATAATGTAATGTCAAATGGTAAAATGTCTATTTCTAAAATAAAACAGACGAGATTGTTTTTTTAAATACTTAAACCAATTAGCTAAGAGTAGAATTAAATGCAAGTAGCAATTAACCCATTGTGACTATGATTTTGTAATAGATCAGTGCAGACATTTGGGCCTGCAGCTAAGAGAAGAATCACAGCCTGAGCATTAGACAGTGGTCACCTTCTATGTGGACTGGAGGGTGTTTCAACACACCACATGATCTTCAAGGTGCAGTCTGTGCTAATTTTGTCATCTCAGGCTTCTTTGTAGTTTGTGAGCTCAGAAGATTTATGTTTCCACCACTGAGTCTGGTTTTGAGTGCTACTCACTCACAAGCAAACAGAACAGACATGATTGAGCTGGGACAAACCATGGAGCCCAGTGTATTATTTACATACACAGACCTTCTGCCAAGAGGTACATAACTTCTAACAAGACAGAAAAACTAGATTCGAGTAGAAAGGCAAAGGCTATCTATCAGCTGTACCACAGCATGTTTGCAATGGAGAAAAAGCTGACTGTAATGAACATACTGTATCAACTGCTGCCAAAGCAAAATTAACCAGGTAAAAGCCTTTGGTCCCCTCTCTTCCAGAAAACACTGCTTTGTCCCAGTCAGCAACTAAGACTTACTAGACTCAAAAAAAAAAAAAAAAAATTACTCATGGAAACTTCTCTCTTTTTCAGTGAAGTGGTTTGAACTGAGAGGAAAAAGAGAGAGGATCCCAGAAAACATTAGTATTTGAGTTTTGAATTAGTTGAAGAACTGATAATCTGGTAAATTAGAAGGCATGGCTGACAGTAAATCTATGTATGTGTATATAGATATATACATTCACATACAGTAGGCAGGAACACATAATTCATGTATATTTACATAATTTTGGTCCTGTGGTTGTGCAAGTCTATCGCTGACACTCTTGATTCACGCTGACAGAAATTACTGCAAGAGGGGCACAAGCATAGCTAACACATTTATTGGGCTGTGAGGAGTCTAGAATTCCTGATCTTTGTCCTTATACTTTGCTACATATTAAGCAGCATGGATTGTGTGATATTCTATGAAATTTGATGTCAATATCTCAGGTCAATTCAGAATAACAATTTTTAAGTTTATAAGTCTTTCACACAGGAGCAATGATGCTGAGCAAACTCCATTTTTGGAGTTGAGAAGACAAACTGCTACAAGCTGAGATAAAGAACTAATCCTGGTAGCTTAAAGACAAACAATCACACAGCCTCAGTGAATCTGTAGAGAGGTGATCACTCAAGGCACCCTGTCAAACAAGTTTCACAAACAAGTTATTTGTAGATAATTTTCAAAGATAAATTTGAGGTTTGGCAGTTCACAAATGAAAGACTCTAAAATAGCAATCTAAATTTTTCACTATGCTATTTCTAGGCTTTATTGTTCCCGTGGTAATGTCACTCAGAGGCAGAGATGTACTATATATATATATGGGTAGATCACATATATGTACGTTTATGTTTTAGCCCACACTTTAATCTCACAAAGTAATTCTAGATCACTGCACCTATATATTGTTTTTAACATTTATGTCCCTGTAGGAAACGTAGACATCTCCCTATAGTCCTTTTATCTCACTGAATGCATACATGCCTGAAAGCTTTTCAGGATTAGGGCCAATATGCCTTTTTAACAGCACTGTGCAATCACACATGGCAAGTAGATCAGTTACTGAATGCTGTAATGGCCTTTTGAGCAAGAGGCTGACTCAGCCTCTTCCACAGCCTGTCGCAGAGGGTTTGCCATCCAACTTATATCCCCCGTTCCTGTGCACCATTCCAGTGGTGACAGGTTTCTGGGTGACTGTTCTATAGCTCATGATCAGCTGGAGGCTGGCAGAAGGAAGTGCAAAAAAGCTCTGCTCTGCAAATAACAGGCTGCAAAGAGAAGCCAACGTGAACAGAGAGTGTAAATAAGATGGGGAGGAGGAGGATGTCTGCCAAAAACAACATGAGGCTTTAAAGGCCTGATTTCACTGCTAAAAGTCCAAAGCTTAGCTTTTCCACCTCTAACTGAATCAAATTCGCTTGCAGCTGATCCCTCTTACTCTGTTCTTTCCTACATCAATCTCTTAAAAAAAAAAAAAAAAGTTATCCCACAGTTTTGTCAAACTTTTGACTAAAGAGATATGGATGTGATTTAAAGGAAGCCAAGAAACACTGTGTTCCTAACACCACTACCATCGTCCTTCTCAGTACACAGGACACCACCCCTCAATTAGCAGCATTGTACTAGAAGGAAATACAGATGAGAAAGCAAAGTTGCATGGAATAAATCATATTTTTTGAGAAGGGAACAGTAATATCCAGAGTTTC